CCACACCCATTCATTGGAGCTCCTCTCTCCCCATCCACACCCATTCATTGGAGCTCCTCTCTCCCCATCCACACCCATTCATTGGAGCTCCTCTCTCCCCATCCACACCCATTCATCGGAGCTCGCTCTCTCCCCATCTTGCAGGACCTTCTCTAGCTACTCTTTCAGTACCTGCCCATCCAGTTTCTGCAGAACATTTTGACTCCTAATTTCTCATTGCTTTTGTTATTTTTTTTCCCGAGAGAATATCTAGTCTTTTTAACTGTAAATTTGCCTAAGGATAGAGTATTATCTAGGATCTATGGCACTTATAATTATAGCAAGTTGAAAATTCTATCTTAACACTGTTAGGGTAATTTTAAGTGTTTTATACCATATCAAATAATTTCTCTGAGACAGTTATAATAACTAAGTTTTTATTCTAAAGTTCCTTTAAAGCAGTTAAATGTAACGCTGAAAGCATTAACTAATCAAGGAGAATTCTAAAATCACATGCTCATTGTTTGTATATTCTTTTGTTTTCTCTCACTATTTAAAAAATAGAAAGGTGCTAGAAGTGGGATTTACAGATCCGTGGCACTTTGGTGACTGGAAACCTGCAGGCACTGGCTTCTGACAGGCCCTGACAACTGACCTGGGCTAGCTGCTCTTCACTGTGCTTGCTCCACAGAGGCACTTGCTGAGGGTGCCCTGGCTGAGGAGCCTTCCTTCAGCAATGTTATTTTTGTTCTTAGGTGCTGTTGAGTCGGTTCCGACCCATAGCACCCTTATGCACAGCACACTGAAACCCTTCCTGGTCCTGCGCCATCCTCACAATTGTTCCTGGACTTGAGCCCGTTTTTGCAGCAGGGTGTCTGTCCCTCTTCTCGAGAGCCTGCTTTTGTGCTGCCCCTCTGAAACTGTTCTTTCCTGACAACATACCCCCCAAAATGTACGACCAAGTCTCGCCATGCTTGCCTCTTAGGACTTCTGACTGTAATTCAGCACTAGACCCTGTATTTTCCGGCTAATAGCAGAAGCTCATTTCTGACAGGCATGTATGTTATCCACTGCTTCACTGTGGAGGCACCATCTGTACTGCCTTGTAGTCTGTGATCATTCCCACTGAGTGGTAAAGTAGTAAAATGTAACAAAAGAGAAAGTAGACTATAAAAAGGAAAAGGTTCTTAGTGAGATTGGCAAAAGGTTTAAGAAGTACCAGGAGCATATTACTGTATATGCTCGAGTGTAAGCTGACCCAGATATCAGCTGAGGCACCTAATTTTAGCACCAAAACTACATTAAAAATGTGCTGGAAAACTCGGCTTATCCACAAATATATGCGGTATATAGCCTTCATACTTCCCTGTTTGATGCCACTTCCAGTGGTATATGAAATGTTTCATTATAACTTTCGTAGAGACCATTTCTGTTGGCAGACCACCAGAATAAACTATCAAATTTTACTGGAACATAAAATGCAGTAACAATGATAATGCTGGTAGCAAAGCCTTACATTGCTCATTATGCGCCAGATAATCTTATAAGGACTTTACCTATATTCCCCAGTACAATCTTCCCGACATCCAAGGAAGCAGATAGGATGTTTCTCTTCACTGTGGAGACATGGGAACTGAACAAATGCTTCAGAACCTGGTTCAGGCTGCACAACTAGTAACTGGTGGAGTTAGCTCGTGGGATTTGGACTCAGGCATTCTGGCTCCTGTGTTTCGTCTACTTCCCAAACTCTTGAGGGAAAAATCTGGTCCCTTAGAGCTACATCATAACTCTAATAGTCAATGACGTAGTCTTGACCAATCACACATTGCAAATTTAAAATTGCAGGTGATGTAGCAGTACTTGGAATATGAAAATATAAATTACTCACTTAATTTCTTATGTCTCCCAGTGTTCCCATTCCAGTAACTGGCTTATTCATCTGATAAAATATAATTTAAATGCAGCAGTCAGTGGATAATTTTGCAAAGGACCAGATAGTCTTTGTCTTGGACTCGGCAGGCCATAAGCTCCCTGTCTCAGCTGATAACCTCTGCCATTAGGTCATCAAAGTAGCCACAGACAGGATAGAAAAATAGGTGATGAGTGGACTTATACTGGATTACTAGTAAAAGCGATTTCTTTTCTTCTTTATTTCAGTATGAAGAATTACAGTGTCAACATGCTGAGGCAATGCAAAATGCTGAGAGGACACAAGATAACATGCAAAAGTATATTTTAAAGTCACACAGAAAATAGCTTGTATATTTGTGAAACAAATAAGCAATTCATTTCTTGTTTAATTTTTTTAGTTATGATAATAAGTACCAGTGTGTAATCCAGGGCAAAATGTCAACTTTAAACTACTTTGAAATGCATAATTTTTGCATATTATCTTTACCACCAAAAATATAACTATGAAAATGGTACAATTGACAGATTATCTACTTACTAAGTCTTAAGCATTTGTGTACTAATTGTATAATTATATATTTTAAAATCTATGTGTGAGAATAACTGTTTTAAAATACACGTTTTAGGCAGGAGGTGGAAAATGTGACATTAAAAGCTACAATCAAATTGCAAGAGGACAAAATTGAAACCCTTCATCAAAGCCTATTAAGTAAACGTTTGGTGTGTCAATCTCTTGATATCTCTCGTGCTAAAGAGAAACGATCGCTCTAATTGTGTCTGCGGAGTCCACCCTGGTGCTAGTGCCACCGAGCCAAGTCCCCTCCTATGAGCCGAGGAGAACTGCTCCTTAGGGTGTTCAAGGTGGGAGGGCCTTTCAGGAGGAGATCGCCAGACCGGCTATCCAAGTGGCCTCTGGCTGGGTTTAAACCACCGACCTTTCAGATAGTAGTTGAGTTTGTACCTCTTTGCACTGCTCAGGAGCCCCTGTCTAAACACCAATTACTCTCAAATTCATGAAAAATGCACATATTTTAAAAATAAAAGTGAGTACATTAAAAAACTAACGTTGCTTATTATGTTACTTTTAAGTCAGAAGATGAAAATGAAAAATTGAGAAAATCTTTGGAACATCGTTTGGACCAAGAAACACATAAAAACAATGAATTAGAAAAGGATATTGCTGGGTAAGACTTAAAAAAAACCTTTTAATTGTGATTTTAGATACAACTTTACAAAGCAAATTAGTTTTCCATTCCACAACTTAAAAACATTTTGGTTCATAACATTGATCACATACTGGGTAAGGTTTTAATACTTCAGATAGTTTCTATATATTAAACTATTGATGTAGCTGAAATTTCCCTTTATTTTATTAAAAACTAAATGTGTATTTGTTTTGCAGCTACATTTTCTTAGTTAAACCAACTACTTTAAAGTTTATTTAAGAAACGCATTTCACAATCTGAGACATTTTTGAATGCCCTTTGTATATACTGTTAACTGCAGTTCACCACCTACCTTGAGTTTATAGTACTACAAGCTATCTTTACTCTCTATGTAATCTTCTTTTCTTTTTGTAGTGTTCAGCCTTTCAACTTTAAAATGGTTAAAATCTAAACACTCATCTGTGCCGTTAACAGCACCAGAAATTAAACTATAAAATACAGCACTCATAAACAGACATGCCTATATTCGTGACTTCTAGAAGAAAATTAAAACGAACAGTTGTATCTCCACCATTCAAATTTTAACAACTAGAATCTTCCTAATGCCTTTAAATCCCCCAGGTTTGCTGATCCCTGAAATTTGTCCAGAGATCTGGTCCACGCTTTCCTTTCCTTTCATTCCTTCTCTTCGTGTCCTGCTGCTCTTTCGTTTTGTAGACACTGGCCCAGCAAAGGTCTCGAGATCTTTTAACACAGTTTTTAAGATGCTGTCGCCCATTCCCTTCCGGTTTCCTTTCCTGTGACGGTCTGCTTGTTTCCTAGGCTTCCTCAGTCAGTCTTCAGTTATTTCCCTTTTCTGTTCTCAAGCTTCTTGCTGTATTTTTTTGCCTCTTGTAGGCTGAGTAACAGGTTGACAGTATTTTTATGTCTTTTCAAAACTTTAGTAACGATGTGTTTCTTCTTAACCATAAACACAGATCTCTGTATATTGCCTGTTGTTAAATCATAGATTAGTATTTTACATTGACACACTAAAAAGGGTGTTAATAATTTATTTATAAGAACTTTATATATAGTTATATTATTAACCCTTTACCTGCCATCATATATTGCCACAGTGTTATTAACTTAGATAGTATGCTTACCAACAATCTTAAGAAGAGGCAAATGAGAAAGGATTATGATTTAGAGATTGTTTAAATAATTATTATATATTTACTATGAAAGAGCTTATTCAATATCTATATTTCTGCAGCCTTAAGAAATCATTAAAAGAAACAAAAAAGAAGTTGAATGAATACGAAACTGGAGACCTTTGTTTCCTTGGAGACTTACAAACAAGGAACATCGAGCTGGAAAGTCAGATGACCCCGTTACAAGAGAAGGTAATCTGTAATTAGTTTTGGGACTAAAGTCACTTAAGTTTGGGAAGTATAAATCACTCAGTGTTTTGAGGGTGGAATAGTTTTTTTCTACTAATTTTATATCCTCGATGCCAATGAAAAGGACAGCTTTTTGAGGTTATCACTGTTGTATAAAAAGGGCACATTGTTGAAATTGTTTTTGTCTATCGTGGCTAATAATCTAAATTGAAGCAGTCTACCAGTTGCTCGCCGCCTTCGAGTCAGTACTGGCTCTTAGCTAACTGTAGGACAGGGTAGAACCCCCTGTGAGTTTCCGAGGCTGTAACTGTTTTCAGAAGTAGGAAGCCTTGTCTTTCTCCTGTAGTCTATCAGAACAAGACCCCAAATCACTAGCACCAAATAAAATATTTTTGTAATTTTATTGAATTATAATTAGCACATCATATAATTTACTCATTTAAAATATACAACTCAATGTCTTTTAATATATTAACAAAATTGTACAACCGTTACCATGATCAATTTTAAAACATATTCATCATCTCTAAATGAAACCAAATACTCTTTAGCTATATCTGCCAATCTTCCCTCCTCCCCTCCCCTAGCCTGGGCAGCTACTAATCTACTCTTTTATTTTTATAGATATGCTTATTCTGGACAATTCTTATTCATGGACTCACACAGTGTGGCCCTTTATAACTGGCTTCTTTCATTTAGCGTACTATTGTCAAGATTTACCCACATTATAGAATATATTTATTTTTTCTTGTTCAATAGTATTCCTTTCTATGGATATGCACATTCTATTTTCCCGTTAATCAGCTTCCATTTTTCTGATGACTAATAATGTTGAATATCTTTGCATGTATTTATTGGCCATATGTATATTGTCTTTGGAGACTTGCCTATTCAAATCAGTTACCTTTTGGGGCTATTTGTTACTTAGTTATAAGAATTCTTTATCTTAGACACAAGTATATGATTTAAAATTATTTTCTTTAAATCAGTAGCTTAATTTTTCACTCTCTTAATATAGTATTCTTTGAAGTACAAGTTTTTGATTTTTATGAAATCCAATTTATCTACTCTTTTCTTTGATTACTTGCAAATTTGGCATTCTATCTAAGAATTCATTGTCAAATGCAAAGTTGTGAAGAATTTTTCTTCTGAGTTTTATAGTTTTAGGTCTTGTATTTTGAGTTAATGTTTACCGATGGTGTGAGGTTGGGACCCAAGTTAACTCTTTCATGTGTGGATATCCAGCTGCTCAGCACAATTTGTTGATGAGTTATCCTTTCTTGTTGGAAAGCAATTGGGTGTAAATATGAAGCTTTCTTTTTGACTCTGCAGTTCTTTACCATTGACCTATATGTATCTTTGTGCTAGTCCAAATCACATATTATGAGAGTTGTTTCCCAATCATTGAGCATATTACCTGAAGTCTTAGGTAATAATGAAAAGTCATTGTGGGGAAATGTCTTTAATTTTAGTCTTGTGGAACTTTTATTTCTAAAAACAACACGTGGTGTGTATATATATATATACATATATATATATATGAAACCAAATACTCTTTAGATATATCTGCCAATCTTCCCTCCTCCCCTCCCCTAGCCCGGGCAGCTACTAATATATATATATATATATTCCTTGGTGATGGGAAGTTACTAATATATATATATATATATATATATTCCTTGGTGATGGGAAGTTAGTTTTATGTATGATACAGAGATAGAGGCCATTCCTTTTCTTCATTCAAACCATTAGTCTTTCACCCTGGCTTCCTCCTTCACTTTCCTTGCCATTAAATCGTGGTCATGGGATCTGTTGTCTCATTCTGGTGCTTAGAAGGGACCTTCAAAAAGTTGCTGTGAAAATTAGAAAATCTTTTCGAATTGTCCGTGAATTTTTGGGAGCACCCTTGTACTTCATGATGCTTCACATTAAGTCATTACACTGTATAGACCCTATAGAGCTTGGCGGTGACTAGATCTGGGCTTCTAGGTGTCCTTTGGAAATCTGCAGCTCACGGTGGCATGCTCTTTGACCTGCTCCTTGTGCTAGCACTGGACCCTTACAGTCTCAGAAATCACAGCTCCTTAGTTCTTAAATACACAGAAAAGCATGCATAAACTCTACTTTATATTTTAGTACATGATACATGGTGCTATATTTCAATCCATTCAAAGAAAAACTTCAGGAGTGCAGTGCTTAAAATGTGGCATATGCAAGCAATTCCGTACAGTCAGATAACAGACAAATTATTAATTTGAATGTTAAAACTTTCAAGCTAATGTGTATGATATGGATAAGGATTGTGATACCAGATGAGATGGTCTTATCTGCCCACACAGACAAGCTTGATATGTAAGGCAAGGGGGAAATTGTGTATAATTTCTTAACATTCAGAGGACATTAACATTGCTTTTAAAACTGAGAACATTAAAAACTATAGTCCCATAGAAATTCTTAAATAGAGCTGCCTGTTGTCTGTCCTTTGGTATGCACCATATTTTTACACAGACAGCAAGAGGTCTGCTGAAATTTATTTGCCCACTGCTCCCTCCCCACTGGCAGGTTTTTTACTTAAGCACATGCTATGCCAATTTCTTCTTTTAATGTTGCTATAAAAAAATTAGTAGACCACAATTACAAAATATCTCGCAAGGGAGGGAGTGGTTGATAAATAAATGTAGACGGTGCGTGTTATTTGCATAAACATTGGTAGGCTGAATCATGAGAAGGATTTTCCCTCGACTCCTGGCTAGTTGGTACTCTTCTTTTTGAAGAAATGACCTGGGCCTGCAGCTGAGTAGTTATCTCAGTCTGTTTTATGCTCTGTGGACCCTCCAAAGTCCAAAGGCTTTTTTCTGTCTTGTGGTGTCTTGGTCTCTTTTGGTCCAAGGTAGCAAGCGATGTTTGTGCTACTGTAATCCCCTTTAAAACATTGTGAGTTTCCTATGAATTTTACTGGAGTCCATTCCATTGGAAAAGTTACTCTCAACATTTTTTGAGATATGTTCTTTTCCACTTGGTCTTCCTGAGAAGCTGTTTAATGTTTAAGACAGTACTCTTTTTGTTGTTGTTGTTGTTGTTATTTTTATTGGCTTATAATAACAAATGGTCATTATGGAAAATAAAACTACCAAAACATATATTAAAAATACAATTAAAAGGATAACTAAGTAGGGAGTTATTCCCTTCCTCCCATAGCAAGAGAATGAAGATCATGATAAGTGCGGGTTTTTTTCAGCTAGGTAGAGCTTATCTATCAAACCTCAAAATTCACTGCCATTGTATCAATTGCAACTAATCACAACCCTATAGGATAGAGTAGAACTGCCCCTGTGGGTTTCTGAGATGGTAACTCTGTATGGGAGTAGACAGCCTCATCTTTCTCCAGAGTGGCTGTTGGTTTTGGACTGCTGACCTTGTGGGTCGCAGCCCAGTGTGTCACCCACTACACCACCAGGGCTCCTCAGAGTCTATCTATTGAGCCAGTATAATGGTAGTTGAGGATAGTAAATTTCAGTGAATTCCAAATATCATTTGAGGACAGCTAAGTTATTAGGGAGCTTTGAAAAATAGAAAATGGCTAGACTCCCACTCTCAGAAACATTGATTTCCAAACCAGGAGTTTGCTTCTAGAAGTAAATTTGAAAAATAACCGTGTTGAATAGAAGGCTATAATAGAGTGCCATTTGCCTGGGCTCACAAGTACAAGATTCTCAAATGTTGATGTCTACCTCTAGCTCTACATGTGGTTGTGCTAAAAGCATTAATTTTCTTTTTAAGAAAATTAATTTCTTAACTTCAAGCAATGTGCTTTTTCTAAAGGTCACTGGTCATATGGCTCTTATGAGGGGGTATCCCCCTCCCCCCCCAAATGGGACAAAGCTCCGCTGATCGGAGCTTTCATAGTTTGCATTTTCCAGCTAGGTGAGCTTCAAGCAACTCATTCTGAGTTAGTACATCCAGTGGCATCACCTGGGGAGGTTCTCTCTGGTCACAGTGAATTTTTTCTTTTTAAAACCATTTTATTGGGGGCTCATTCAACTCATCACAATCCATATATACATCCATTGTGCCAAGCACATTTGTACATTTGTTGCCATCATCCTTCTCAAAACATTTGCTTTCTACTTGAGCCCTTGGTATCGGCTCCTCATTTTTACCCCTCCCTCCCTGCTCCCCTCTCGCTCATGAACCCTTGATAACTTATAAATTATTATTATTTTATCATATCTTACACTGTCCTATGTCTCCCTTCACTCACTTTTCTATTGTCTGTCCCCCAGAGAGGGGGTTATGTGTAGATCCTTGTGATCAGTTCCCCCTTTCTTCCCAACCTTCCCTCTACCCTCCTGGTATCACCACTCACCATTAGTCCTGAGGGGTTCATCTGTCCTGGATTCCCTGTTTCCAGTTCTTATCTGTATCAGTGTACAGCCTCTGGTCTAGCTGCATTTGTAAGATAGAATTGGGATCATGATGGTAGGGGAAGGAAGCATTAAAGAACTAGAGGAAAATTGTATGTTTCATCTATGCTATACTGCACCCTGACTGGCTCATCACCTCCCCACAGCCCTTCTGTAAGAGGATCCCATTGACACCTTGTGACCACATAGGCTGGTGTGCTTCTTCCATGTGGGCTTTGTTGCTTCTCAGCTAGATGGCTGCTTGTTTATCTTCAAGCCTTTAAAACCCCAGACATTATGTCTTTTGATAACTGGGCGCCATCAGCTTTCTTCACCACATTTTCTTATGCACCTGCTTTGTCTTCGGCAATTGTGTCAGGAAGGTAAGCATAATGGAATGCCTGTTTAATAGAACAAAGTGTTCTTACATTGAGGGAATACTTGAGTGGAGGCCTAATGTCCATCAGCTACCTTAATACTAAAGCTATAAATATATGCACATCGATATATTTCGCCATCATCATATATAAATATATTTAAATATGTACATGCCTGTATTTAGACCTCTAAATGCCCTTTGCCTCCTAGTTTGTTCCTCTATTTCCTTTGACTTTCCTCTTGTCCCACTATCATTCTCAGCCTTCATTTGGGTATCAGTAATTCCTCTCGGCTATATTGCCCTTGATCAAGGCCTCCCTACCAGGCCTCTTACACCCTCCTCGCCACTGATTTTGGATCACTTGTTGTTCCCTTGTCCCTGGGTTTGTTAATACCCACTTCCTTTCCCCCCGCATCCCCCTCTCCCATGCCCCCCCCCCACCATCGGTCTGTAGTTTTCTCCTCCAGATTGTTTATCCTGCCTATCTTATCTAGATAGACCTGCAGAGATAATAATATGCACAAAAAACAAGACAGAGAAAAACAAAGCAACAAAAGAAAACAACAACAAAAACCAATGACAAAATAAAGAAAAGCCTGTAACTAAGTCAAGATCTGTCTGTTGACCTTTAGGAGTGTTTTCTGGTTAAGTCAGAAGGGGTGCCATGCCCGGGCCCCAAAGTCTACTTTTGGTATTCCCTCGGGACTTCCCTCCTCTGCTCCCCTTGCTGTTCTGTTGCACGCCCTTAGTGGTTTGCCTGGTGTGGTGGGGTCAGATCAGGCGCAATTCCCGCACTGTGTCTCCAGTGATCTCCCCCTTAGGGCTGTGGGTCTGTGAGGGATGTAAGGCAGTGCTCTTAAAGATTCATACATCCTTCTGCTCTCTAATGAATTTGAGATACCATTTTAAATCTTCCCAAGGTCTTAACAGGGTTTTGCAGATAAGGCCTGCCATTGCCTTTGGAGCACGTTTTCCTGACAGCTCATGGATTGATGTGAGCCAAAGTCATTTCTTCATTTGGACATTATTTGACATGTAGAGAAACTATAAATATGAAACAGATAATATATTTGAACTGATGAAGCCCCAGTTCTTTTATATTGACCAATCTTTCTTTAGCTTCTCTCTAGCCTCTAATATTTTACTTTCAGTTGCTACTAATCAACAGTCTCCTTTTTTCTAGAGTTAATATCTTTTTTTTAAAACTTGCCTTTAAATCCTTACTGTCAGCCCCCTCAAGGATCACCTGGCTTCCTCTCTTTGAGCCTCTGGGTTTTCAGTCATACTTTTGTGGTCTTTTCAGCTTCTGGATGCCGCCTTTTAGGAGTGGTCCCAAAGCCACTCCTACATGTTTCAGATTTGTTTTCTTTTCGTTGTTTTGTTTTATTTTAAGCCACAGCATCCTACTCTTTAGAGTCATTAGCAGTTATTTATTTTGCTCCATAAGACACTTAAATCTTAGTGCCTCAAAACAACATATATTTTGCTCAGGAATCTATAGCTTACGCCAACAAAGCTCAGTGAAGTCAGCCCATTTCTTGTCTATTAAATGGACACGTGTAGGTGGGGAGTGCTGTTTAAGTGACTCACAGACATTTTGAGGAGCAACAACATGTGAAAACTCATAGCAAATAAAATACAGTATAGAATTGAGTGCAGAAATTGGGTGGCAAAGATAAAGGAAATAAATTTTTCTGGTTCTTTGTAGTTACAACTTTGTTCCTGATTTTTAGAGTGATGCAAGCGATCATACTGTAAGAACATGGGTATTTTCTTACAATTAATTTATTTTAAGTTTGTATTAATATTGAGTTAGACAGTTCTTCCGCCTACTTCCTTTATTGTTAAAGTATATTATTTTATTCAAGCAGATTAATAATCTTACAGAACAACTGGAAACTTCATATTCAAAATGTCAACACTTGGAAATACAAAAGCAAGCCCTTCAACAGGAATTAGTAGCTGTGAAAGACGTACAAAGGAAATGTGGAAAACTGGAGAAGAGGAAGGACAAGTTAGAACAGAAAGTTGGACACCTCAGAAGTCAACTGGAAAAGAGTGCGATAGACTACGCTCAAGTAGAGCAGTATAAGCGGGATGTTGAGGAGAAGGCCACGCAGGAATTAGTAGAAAAACTAAAACAAGTCAACCTGTTTTTACAGGTAAACCTTTCATCGGTTCTCTGCTTTCATTCATGGAAGTGTGTGTGTTTACTTTGTTTTGGGTCATTTGTTTTTGTGTTAGTCTGGGTACTTTAAAGAAACAAATCCACAGAATAATCCATGTATAGGAGAGTTTTATATAAAGGTTAAGTGCACATCAAGAAAACATCCCAACCCAGTGCTGCCACAAGTCCAACATTAACCCATATGTCCAACACCAATCCACAAAGTACTCCTCCATCTCACAAAACACATGCAGTGATGCCGACTGCAGGAGGAAAGCCAAATCAGTGAGCTTGTGAGCATCTCAGCACTGGCAGGGGTCTCCACACGGCTGCTCCAGCACCCAGGGCTGCATCAGGGTAGGTCCATGTGGCTTCTTCTCGGGGATGTCTTGCAGGAAGTGAGCCTTACCAGCTGAAGCAGGGAATTGGCTAAGGCAGCTGCACCCTGGTCTGACCATCAGAGAGCAAGAGATCCGAAAACTCGAAAGGCGAGGCTCACCTAGCCATTTATCCCTCCGCCCTTCAATGAACCCTACATGTGTTTATCGGCCAGGTTGGCACAATAAACTAACTCAGTTTTCTAGATTGTTAGAAAGTTGCATTTGTTTCTCTCTTTAATATGTCAGTTTGATCGTTATTATTAATAAATTACTCTTAGAGAATAAGGATTCGCTTTAGAGAATCACTTGATTATTAAGTCTAGTTACTATAAAACAGGAGTACTAACAGGCAGAGAAAAAAGTTATGATTTTATAAATGTCCCATACTCTTGGTTTAGTCTTGATATGTTTTTTATGTACTGTATGTGCTCGTATATAAACTAAGTTTTTTAGCACATTTTTAATGCAGTTTTTGTGGTAAAATTAGGTGCCTTGGCTGATATTTGGGTTGGCTTACAATCGAGTATATACCATAATTATTGTTCCTTGAATGATGAACCCACATAAGTAATAACTTAAGAATGATTCAAAGTTATTTGTACTAGGTATGTCACTTGATATTAGTGACTTTTAAACTTGGGCCTTTAAAAAAAATCCTTATTTTTTACATACTTAGAATTGCTCTAAGAATCACTGACAAAAACTTAAGGAAACAATGCATTATAATTATTCACATTATCAATATTTTTCAATGTATCCTTTTAATTGGTTTTAGACGCAAGCAGTTTCCCAAGAGAACTTAGAGTATTTAAGAGAAGAACATAATGCTTCAATGAGAAGTCAGATGGAAATGAGAATGAATGAGCTAGAATCTGAACTTTCTAAAATGAAAACTTCCCAAAATGATTCTCAGAAAACAGAAACAGAAAAATACAAAGAACTCTATTTTCAAGAATTACAACTGAAAACGGAATTGTCAAGTAAACTAGAAAAGTAAGTCAAAATGGAAACACTGAAAATAAATTTAACTCATTAATATACCTTAAAATAGCAGTTCTCAACCTGTGGGTAACAACCCCTCTGGGGGTCGAATGACCTTTCACAGGGGTCTCCCAATTCATAACAGTAGCAAAATGACAGTTATGAAGCAGCAACGAAAATAAATTTATGGTTGGGGGTCACAGGAAGGTTGAGAGCCACTGCCTTAAAGCCCCTTTTTAACGAGCCAGTTTCATGAGGTAAGAAGTGAAAACTAGATAATATAAGTTGGGAAATAATATTAGTAAATCAATTTATCTTTATAATGTTACTGGAAGAGATATTTTATATCTCTTCCCTTTTTTGGTTTTATTTGGCTTTACTATCATTTTCTTTATTACATAGTAAACCTGATCTACTTGTTTAAAGTTATTTTTGAAGTTTTATGATTGACACATATTTTTTAGTATATAATTGCTCATCAGTATTCCCTTAAGTAGAAATATTAACAATTGAACTGTTTTTGAGAAGGTGAGCTCTGGTGGTTTGCAAGCATTGAGCTTCTAACGTACAGGTTGGTAGTTTGAGCCCACCCAGCAGCTTTTCACAGAAGACTTGGCAATCTGTTGACTTCAGCCAAGAAAACACTCCGGGGCGGTTCTACTATGTCCCATGGAGCCACTTAGGGTCAGAGTGACTCAGTGACACCTGATAGCAAGCAAAACAAATACCTGACCTACTGCTGTGAGGGGAGCCCTGGTGGAACAGAGTAGAAGTACCCCATAAGGTTCCATGGCTAGCATTTTTACCACGTTGTACTGTTTCTACAAGCTGATGAAGCACTGGAAGCACTCACTTGCTTATTGCCAGGAAATTTGGAAGATTGCTACTTGACCAACTGACAGAAAGAGATCCATATTTGTGCCCATTCCAAAGAATAGTGACCCAACAGAATGTTCCAACTACAGAACAGTATCATCGATAACACTTGCAAGTAAAATTTTACTTAAGACCGTCTTTCAGTGCTTGCAACAGTACATTTAGTGGGAACTACCTAAAGTTCAGGCTGAATTCAGAAGGAGATGTAGAACAAGGGATATTATTATTGCTGATGTCAGATGGATCTTGGCTCAAAGAAAAGAATACTAGGAAGGTATTTGTGTTTCATTGACTCTGCAAAGGCATTCGGCTTTGTGGATCATACTAAATTATGGATCACCTTGAGAAGAATGGGACTTCCAGAACACTTCCTTGTGTTCATGCAGCCCTTGTACGTGGATCAGAGGCAGTTGTGAGAACAGAATGAGGGAATACTATGTGGTTTAAATTCAGGAAAGGTGCACATTATGGTTGTGTCCTCTCACCAGACTTGTTGAGTCTCTCAGCTGAGCAAATAGAGAAACTGGATTATATGAAGAATACTGTAGCATCAGGATTGGAGAAAGGCTTATTAACAACTTACAATATTCAGATGACACAACCTTGCTTGCTGATTGAAGATCAAGAATTGCAACCTTCAGCATGGATAACAACTCAATGTCAAGAAGACCAAAATCCTCACAACTGGACCAACAGGTGGCATCATGATAAATGGAAAACACGTTGAAGTCATAGAGTTTGTCTCACTTGGATCCACAATCAATGCTCAAGGAAGCAGCAGTCAAGAGATCAAATGACACATTGCATTAGGTAAATCTGATGCACACGACCTCTTTCGAGTATTAAAACACAAGGATATTACTCTGTGAACTATAAGGTGCACTTGACCCAAGCCATGGTATTTTCCATTACCTCTTATGCATGTAAAAGTTGGATATTGAATAAAGAAGGCCAATGAAGAACTGATACATTTGAGTTGTGGTGCTGGAGAAATACTGAAAGTTCCACGGACCGCTAAAAGGATACTGCTGTTCCACTTTGGAAGAAGTAGGGCAGAGTGCTCCCTATGGGCAAGGATGGCAAGACTTCACCTTCGTATTTTGGACGCATTGTCAGGAGAGACCAGTCCCTGGAGAAGGACATCGTGCTTGGTAAAGTGGAGGGCCATTGAAAAGGAAGTAGGAAAGCCCGCAACGAGATGGCTTAGCACAGTGATTGCACCAATAGACTCGGGCATAGGAAACAGCTGTGAAGATGGCACAGGACTGGACAGTGTCTCATTCTGTTATGCAAAGGGTCCTATGGGTTGGGGCTGTCTTGGTGGCACTTAACCAGAACAACAATTTTTACTAAGCTCGCCACCACTTCTTTCTCTGGTAGAACAGCTGGTGTTCAAACACCTATTTGTCATTTAGCAGCTGAGTGCTTGAACTGCCCTGCCACCAGGGTTCCTTCTTCACAACAACCTATGTAACGTATCCCAAAGGGAATGTTCTAGCACTTGTATATGAACTTGTTGATACTTTCATTATCACCAGGCTTTCAGACCAACCGTTCTTTATAGTTTAGCCATGATAACAACACTGAAGAAAACAGAATCATTTAGAAAACAGTGAAATGGATGAATATATATTTTTTTAATGTCATCTTCACAGGGCCAATGAGAGACTCTCAGACATCAGTGGAAAACTAGCCATGGAAAAACAACAGAACCAACAGAACCAGTCTTTCCTCAACAGCCTCATGACAAGACCCGCCCTGGAGACACCTTTTGTAGGAACTGCTCAAATTAGTTCTGTGTTTGCTAGAAATCTCCCCCGAGAATATATTGGGGTTTCTCCCACAAGTAGGCACTGGCATCCAACCGATAACATCGACACCTACCTGGCTAAGGTTTGTTACATTACATTTTAGGTTGCAGATTTCTAATATTTTTAATTTGGTGAAATACTGAGCTATTTAAGCGATGTGTGTGTGTTAAGTAAAAGTCATAATTATGCAAGAAAGAGACAGACTTCATCTCTTTTTTTTTCTTTAAATATCTGGATTTCTCTAACTTAAAGGGAAACAGTTATATCGCTGATTGATTTGTACGCATTGGTGAAGCTCTCTTTCACCACATTGGTAACATTTCACATCGATTCCATCTCCCACCACTACAGTCATTTTAGTCTTGTCAGCTGATTCTGTCATAGTGCTAATAGATAACTGCATGTACATTCTGCTAATTTTTGGTTTCGGATTTCACATTCTTGTTCAATTGTGAAATGTTTTATCCTCTGTGTCAGTAGTAATTTTACAGTTTCTTCTTTTTTAAATCATTTTATTGGGGGCTTGTACAACTCCTATCACAATCCGTACATGCATCCATTGGGTCAAGCACATTTGTACATTTGTTGCCATCATCATTCTCAAAACATTTGCTTTCTACTTGAGCCCTTGGTATCAGCTCCCATTTTTCCCCTCCCTCCCCACTCCCTCCCTACAGACCCTTGATAATTTATAAATTATTATTATTTTGTCATGTGTTACACTGTCTGATGTCTCCCTTCATTCACTTTTCTATTATCTGTCCCCCAGAGAGGGGGTTATAATTTATTCCCCTTTTCTCCCCCACCTTCCCTCCACCCTCCTGGTATTGCCACTCTGAGCACTGGTCCTGAAGGGATCATCTGTTCTGGATTCCCTGTGTTTTCAGTTCATATCTGTATCAGTGTACATCCTCTGGTATAGCCGATTTGTAAGGTGGAATTGGGATCTTGATAGTGGCGGGGGAGGAAGCATTAAAGAACTAGAGGAAAGTTGTATGTTTCATCGTTGCTATACTACACCCTGACTGGCTCGTCTCCTCCCCACGACCCTTCTGTACGGGGATGTCCAGTTGCCTATAGATGGGCTTTGGGTCCCCAATCTGCATTCCCCCTCATTCACAATGATATGATTTTTGTCCTTTGATGCCTGATAACCTGATCCCTTCAACACCTTGTGATCACACAGGCTGGTGTGCTTCCTCCATGCGGGCTTTCTTGCTTCTTAGCTAGATGGCCGCTTGTTTTATCTCAAGCCTTTAAGACTCCAGACTATGTCTTTTGATAGCCGGGCACCATCAGCTTTCTTCACCACATTTACTTATGCAACTGCTTTGTCTTCAGCAATCATGTCGGGAAGGTGAGCACCAGGGAATGCCAGTTTAATAGAACAAAGTGTTCTTACATTGAGGGAGTACTTGAGTGGAGGCCCAATGTCCACCTGCTACCTTAATACTAAACCTATAAATATATGCACATAGATCTATTTCCCCATCACCATATATAAATATATTTACATATGTACATGCTTGTATTTAGACCGCTATAAATGCCTTTGCCTCCTACTTCTTTCCTTTATTTCCTTTTACTTTCCTCTTGCCCCACTATCATGCTCAGCCTTCATTTGGGTTTCAGTAATTCCTTTTGGTTACATTGCCCTTCATCAAGCCCGACAAGGCCTCTCACACCCTTCTCGCCACCGATTTTGGATCACTTGTTCCCTTGTTCCTGGGTTTGTTAACATCACTTCCTTCCCCCCATCCCTCCCTCTCCCATGTCCCCCCAGAACCATCTGTCTCGTTGTTTTCTTCTCCAGATTGTTCATCCAGCCTATCTTATCTAGATAGACCTGCAGAGATAATAATATGCACAAAAACAGGACAGAGCAAAACAAAGCAACAAAACAAAACAACAGAAACCAATGATTAAAAAAAAGAAAAGCCTGGAAATAGTTCAAGGTCTGTTTGTTGACCTTTAAGAGTGTTTTCCAGTGGAGTATGATGGGGTGCCACACCCTGGCCCCAAAGTCTATTTTTGGTACCCCCTCGGGACTTTTTTGCTCTGCTTTCTTTGCTGTTCTGTTGCACGCCTTTAGTGTTTTGCCTCAGAGTTGTGGGGTCAGATCGAGTGCAATTCCTGCACTGTGTCTCCAGTGTTGTCCCTTGTAGCTATGGGTCAGTGAGGGATGTCGTGTCTGGTGGTGGGGCCGGCCATATGGTCCTCTCTGTGCATTGGCTGCTCTGAGCAGGGATATCATCCTCATTGGTTCCTCATTCAATGATATAGTATTATAAATACAGAAGTTAAAATAAGCCTGAACCAGTACATCACTAGAAAATTTTATAGCACATAAAATTATTTTCTTAGAAGAATTCATTGGTAAGAATTTAACTTAAAATTTTATCTCAGGCAGCTTTATAAAAAGCTTTATAATTATTATAAACTATATCATTTTTTTTTCTCTTCAAAGCTTTTCTAGTACTTATAGTATCCAAGACAATGGATGGTACAAACTACTCAGTCAATGTTTTTAAATCTGTTTCAAATCAAAAGATTTATTTTAATTTTTGGTGCACTGTCACTTTAAAATTCTTCCCTATTATTTATTTTAGTAATGTTGCTATTTCTTACATATCCACTTAATTTAGCAATAAGTTCCCTAAATGTTGTTATATGAATATCTCAAAGACAGAAATTACAGGTCTTAAGATTTACGTTTTTTATGTGGTAGAACGTTGTTTGAGCCGTGACCATTTGTTCCCAAGCAGGAATAGAGTGCCTGTTTCTTTCATCCGGGCAAAGCCTGCCTATCTGAATTTCAGCTCTGGCATCTCTCTTTGCTTGTTTCATATGCGTGAGGCTCATCCGGTGTTTGTCCTTTTGCAACCGATAAGGAGGTGTATTGGCGGCCACTGGCAGAAGCTATGATAATAGTTTCTGTTCATTCTTATTCATAACTTTAGAATTTACTATTTGGCTACAGCAACTTTTTTCATAGCTCAAGCTTGCACTTTATTACAGGACTTTTATGGGTTCATTTCTCTTGAGTTAAATCTAACCATCTACATTTTCCTGATTAGGAGGAATTAGCTAGCATAGTAGAACTGGGGGCTCAATTAGAGGACAGGTCTGCCCCTAATTGGCTTGGTGACCTCCCAGAAGCTAGATAATCTCTCTAAGGCTGTATTTTCTCCTCTGTAAAATTAGGGAGGTTGACTAAATCATTAACCTTCATGCATTAAGAAAAAAAAAGACCCTTTGTGTTTGTTTTCAAGGAGCTTCGTGAAACCATATTAAGTGAGGCAGAAACAAGTACAGGGGTCTGGCTAGCTCAGATGGGGGGGAGTCCTTGTATGAGTCATGAAGGTTGTCTCACGATAATCGCGACATTTGTCCTCTGTGCTTGATGAATTTCACTTTGCACAGTGACCTCCAGGTTAGTCCGTGGTCTGCATTGTGTCAGGGTTCATCCCTGTTCGTAACCCTGCATCTTGTTGCACTTGTAATGCCTCCATTCTTCCCCCACGGGGCATTTAGGGTTTCCCATCACCGTGCTGCCTGAATAGTGCAACGATGCACAGGGTGTGCACCTCCGTCACCACTGTATTTAGCAGAAAAGAATCCAACTGATGTTTGTGTGCCGATCCTGTCACGTTGCTGAATTATAACTTAGCTCTAACAAGTTTCTTTCCGTGTCTGGGATTTCTTATGTATAGAATCATATTGTCTGCTAGTAAAGGTTTGCTTCTTTGCCTATATAGATGTCTTGAATCCCTGTTTTCTGCTTGCTAGCTTGGGTTAGGATTTCCAGCCCACTATTCAAAAGGAATGGAAATAAAGCGGGCTTCCTTTCCACCTTCTTTTGGAAGTCCCTCTGTCTGCACACTCAGGGACTTAAGAAAGTTTGGGGAAAAGTGAAATGAAAAGCTAATGGAACTTTTTCAAGCCTCTGAATAAAACTGTTTCTAATTCCAGAAAGTCATAAATCAACTATATTTGAAATCTGATTTCAAATCTTTTCAAACCTTTGTTTATCCTTCCTGCAAGCAAATTTTTCTTGATTCTTTGTATGCACTTGAATAAAGTGTTATAACCATAACATAGATTTCACAATATTTTTTGCTACATCTTTTATCAGTTGAATATTCACTTCAAACTAAGGTAGTACCACATTCTTCAGTTTATGGACTAATGATCTACTGAAAAATTAAAGGTACAGATATTTTTTTAAGTTTTAATTTCTGAAAATAAGGACTGGAAATTTCATTTGATTTTTAAGGAAAAATCTATATTAAAGTCAAAGAACTGACTTAGCTATTATAAAAGGCAATGTTTTATTAAGAATGATAAAGTAATGCATTCAATATACAAAGTGTGACTTGAATTATTTAATTGTTATACCAATAAGATCAGGTTCCACTTTTTAGAAAATGATATATATTCAATAGGTCAATATTTGGATTTTTATCAGAGTCATTTAAGCAATATTTTATATGTTTTCTCTGTTACCTGGAACTAAAATAAATAGAAAAAATGTTTAATTTGCCTGTTGTTCTATTTAATGAATTCCTAAATTGGGTTTAATTTCTAAAGTGTTATTTAAATGATGATTACATTTTATAAAGATAAGTGTGATCCTTACTAAATTGTCTTTCCTTTTCATTGGAACTTAGGTGGAGTTTACATTTCAGATCATTATTTTTATGCTCACCCACTTAATCAACTAAATTATGTCTTGTTTAATGTAACATTATAAATAATATTTGACTTATTTCAGATGCAGGAGGAATTGCAAAACAATATAACTAGAGAACTGGAGGAAGGTATGTTGATAAATTTTATTAATTACATTTAGATATTGAGTAAATGAAATTAAGTATTAAATTATTTCTCAATGTACATCTTAAGAAAATAAATCATAAATATTCATAATGAACATAATTATTCCTAATACTTCTATCATGTTCCATATATTTAAAAAATCTTTTAAAGGTATGTGGCTCCCTTTTTATTTCTGACTACACTCTCTATTCTGTCCTTCCATTTCTGCAAGCTACTAGCCTGAACACTGACGTTTTTTTCAGAAAACGTAGGCCTCATCCAATCCTGCTGTCAGTGATAGCACAGGAGCCTGAAAAGGCAGCGAGTCTAGTGCTAGGCAAATCGCTCTCACTGTGACAGCTTGATTTGATCATTCGCTTGGTTATTGGTCCCCTTCTGACCTCAGAATAAACTCCAAATTCTTTTTCATGAAATGAAACTACTCAGATCACTTCATTTCTTGCCAAGCTAACCAGCCTTACCTCTTTTCACCACCCTACTCTTCCCCGTTGACCTAGCATCAAAGCCAAACTCACACATTTCCCAGTGTTCTTCCTCATGTCTCGTTCTGCACAGGCTGCTTCCTCCATCTGGCAGATTTCTGACTTGTCCTTACAGGACACCTCCACCCCACAGCCTCCAGTATGTACACAATCCTAGGACAGTTATCCCTCCTGTGCATTCCAGGACTGCTCTGTTTTAAGGATAATGACAATTAATTCATTGTGTAACTATTGAAGATTATATTTAATTGTAACCTAGTATCTTGCATTTATACTGATAAAGTTATCAACTTTTTTTTACTGATTTAGACTTAATTAGCAAGTATTTTAGAAAGCATAATTCTTTCATTTTCTTTCTAGCTCATGGTGAATTAGAATCGGACATGTTTAGAATCTCTCCTATGGGATCTAGGAATATATTTAAGTAAATTGAGGTCCAATATTGAAAATATCACAAGAATATGGACATATTTTGAAGAAAAACTCTGTGCTATGAAGGATAAATACTAAAAGTTTACTTACTGGACTATTTATGTCACATTTGGAAATCTTTATTAAAAGAAAATATTTTTGTACAATGTGTGTTTGATGAAACTTTATACACTTGAAACTGTATTTTTGGAGATTGTTTTAGGGTACGAAAGACACCCCAATCTCAACTAGAATTTTTTTTCAACTATAATTTCAGGGCCACATTTATTAGCAGGACAAAGACACAGACACATCACCCAAATGAGAAAGGCATCTGAGACTCCCGTTAGAAAGCTAGAAAACAAACCATGGAACCCAAGACACGGTCACACACTCCTGGTCGGTGGGAGACCGATGCGTCACAGTTACAGGGGGACTATAGGAGCAGGAACTGGGCCATACTTGGGGTACGTTCATTATGTTAGGTAGAAGAGCTTTCAAGATTGGACCAGGGCCTTCTGACCAATGCAGTCAGGGCCCAACTCGTGACTATGTACTGCCCATCAAGGACACCCAAGGAAGCCCCTCAGGTAGACTGCCCTCCCCGGGACAGCTGCAGAGGGGTGGGGGTAACCTACTTTCCAAAGCACTCTGCCTGGGGGCAAGATGGTCTCATCTCTAGTTAATGAACAGAAGGGATCCCAGGGAAGTTGAATCCACGTGGGACTCTGCAAAGGGAGTTGGGGATCTCCTTTGCATAGCCTTCTGCAGATGAGGTACTGGGACTTCCAGTTCTAACACAGTATACCCAAAACCCCAAATAAAAAGCAAGCTACCAGTTTAGTGGATTCTGACTCCTGGCAGTCTCGGGTGTGTCAGTAGAACTGTGCTCCCTAGGGTGTTCGATGGCTGATTTTTCAGAAGTAGTTTACTAGGACTTTGCTTCTGAGGCATTATTGGGTGGACTAGAGCATCCAAACTAGAGCAGCTGAGAGCATGAACTGTTTCCATCACCCAGGGACTTTACTTGTTCAAAGAACCCTAAATGCCAGCTGTTGATGGAGTGCTCAGAGATGACCAACCACTTCTTTATATAGTCCTATTATTTTTCACAATTAAAGGGGTTTGATGGGAAAGTTAATCGGTTACCACGAGTCAGCATCAGCAAGCATTAAGAACTCTCGCCAGCCTGCAGCCAAGTCTCTCTCCAGTCTCAGCAATCTGGCCCTTTTGCCTGTTGCTAGGTCTCACGGTTCCTTGGTCTCAGGCAGATGAGAAGAAGGCACCCCATAGTCTCAGTGCTGAGCCTCTGTGTCACAGTCTGGCCTCAGTGGCCTCCACGACTGCAGGCGCTCGAGGTGGACTGTACTGGTAGCCCTTCGTGATACATAATTGCTTTTTGATATAAAGCTCTTTCTCATACATAGATGACAGTCATGGATTTGTTTCTCTGGAAAACCCGGCCTAATACAGTGGGTAGCTTATGTTCACGTACTTTCTAACAACATTACACATATCCAGAGGATTCATTTGGGGAGCTAATTAACGTGTATGAAGGTGTCATAGCGGGCATGGCCAGCAAAGGGTGTGGTTTTCAGCCTGAAACCTCAAAAGGTCAAGGTAGGACCTGCCTTTCTTAGTGGGCATGCATGACCAAGCAGATTGGCTGTATGCCTCTTAGCTTGTCAGGCTGGTGAGGGGAGAAGAGGGTATGGTGGGAGGACCTGGCAGGAATCTTAACACAAAAAAGAGGTGGAAACATGTTTCCATAGATATCCTCACACACACACCCCTCCTACAAAGGAAGGGAGGTGAAGGGGCAGGATAAAATACATTTCCTTATCAATAGAAGAGACCTGGAGATATTGGAGATAGTGAAAGGGGGAGGGAGGGGAAGGCCAGGATGTTCACAGTACCCCAATAATGGACTGAATAGACTCTTGAGTTTTGAGTCTGAGGCAAGAGCTTAGCATAAAGGCTGGAGTGCTCGGGTGGAAGGATGCAGCTACCTGGGAAGAGCAGGTACACGACAGAGCACCGGCCAATAGCAGAAGACACCACCACCACCACCACCACCATCACCCCCAAAAAAGGCAGCCCATGTTGGGTGGTTCACCATTAGCAGGATATAAGTAACTGCTTTATATTTTGCCAGGCCTTTAGACTAGCTATAAGTCTTTGCGGCTTTTCCAAAATATCCCCTTCAATAAACTTTTTCTGTTCAAACCTTTCCTCGGACTCTTGCGAGAAGAATAATAACAGGAGTAGAGAAGCTTGAAAATTCAGCCTCCTCCTGGTTACACCCTCTTGTTGGTTTTACCTAGTTCCTATTGTGAGAAATGTACAGACAGTGTAAGAGGATCCCCTTCACCTTAGTGCTGACCTAAAAGGTACAAACTGCCCTCATGCAAATGTTCAAACGTTTGAACCTAAAAGACCAAGAATAGTGAGAACTCAAGACCCAAACCTTACTGCCATGGAGTTGTTCTGATCCATAGCATCCCTATAAGGCAAGGGACAACTTCCTCCATGGATTTTCAAGGCTTTAACTTTACAAGAGTAGAAAACCTTGTCTTGGTGGTTTTGAACTGCTGACCTTGTGGTTAGCAGTTGAAGGTGTAACCACTAGGTCAGCAGGGCTCATGAGATCCTTATAAGGAAAGGAAAATTCCGTTCTGATTCCCCTTTTCCTGGCTGGGATTAAGCTGCTGATATTGAGCTTCTCCATCTTGTCTTCCCACTGATGTAGTCAATTTGATTTCTGTGTCTTCCATCTGGGAAAGTCTGTGTATAGGTCACTGTGTTGTTGAAAGAAGAAGTCTTGCAAAATTCTATGCTTTCCAGCTTAATTTCTATCACCAAGACTGTATTTTCAAATTACTGAGCAAATAATTAGAAATCTGGCTTATTTGACTAAGAATATGACATCAGGATTGGAGGAAGATTTATTAACAACCTGTGATATGTAGATGACACAACCTTAGTTGCTGAAAGTGAGGAGGACTTGAAGCACTTGCCGATGAAGATCACGGATTGCCACCTTCAGTATGGATTGCAAGTCAAGGTAAAGAAAAGCAAAATCCTTACAACTGGACCAACAGGTAACATCATGACAAACGGAGAGAAGATGGAAGTTGTCAAGGACGAGCCCGTCAGTTTCCACAGAGGCTGTACCATACCAGGCTGTGTAGTAGGTTTTGAGATCGGGAAGGTGGAGGCCTCCTGCTTTGTTCTTCTTTAGTAGTGCTTTGTTTATCTGGAGTCTCTGCCTTTTCCCTGTAAAGTTGGTGATTAGTTTTCCCATCTCTATAAAGAATGACCTTGGATTCTGGACTAAGATAGCATATCTGTAGATCACTTTTGGCAATATTGACACTTTCACAATGTTAAGTCTTCCTATCCATGAACATGATGCATTCTTCCATTTATGTAGGTCTTTTACAAAGGTCTCAGAGTAGTGTTTTATAGTTTTCTTTGTATAGCTCTTTTGTTTCTCTAGTTATATTTATTCCGAGGTGTTCGTCTTTGGGGTGGCTTTTAAAAATTGTATTATTTTGCTGATTTCCTTTTTTAAAAATAAATCTCTGTTAGTATAAAGGAATACAAATGATTTTTGTATGTTGATCTTATACCTTGCCACTTTGCTGAATCTTTTAATTAGTTTTAACAATTTTCTTGGGGATTCTCTGGAATTTTTTATACATAGAATTTTATTATCTGCAAATAGTGTTTTACTTATTTGTCAATTTGGATGCCTTTAGTTTCTCTTTGTTGCCTGTTAGCTCTGGGTAAGATTTCTAGCACAATAGTAAGTAGGAGTGGTGATAAGGCATCCTTGTATGACTCTGGTATGTAAGGGGAATGCTTCAGTTCCTCTTCATTAAGAGTAATGTTGACTATTGGCTTTATAACATATGCCTTACATATGCCTTTTATTATGTTGAGGAATTTCCCTTCTGTAACTATTTTGTTAAGACTTTTTTTAAAAATCAGGAATGGGTGTTGGATTTTGTCTTCCTTGGAGTAGCTGGTGGCTGCTGAAGTTGGAGCTGTTCAGCTAAACGGCTGATTTTTTAAAAATATTGTGA